GGTGTGATCCCATCTGGGGCAAACATTGTATCTTTTCATCGAGTTTTACAACGTGTATGTGATCACATTCACGATTGTGGCTGATCTTTGACGCAATGGACAGTTTATTGATCTCAACTTTTCACTCTTGGTTGATTGGCTGTCCCGCCCGCGTTTTTGTTCCGCAAACTATGATCTGGAATGGGGGATCTTAGCCGAATGTAGACCTTCAGAGTGAATCAGAGCAGGATCTTAAGGGTGACTTTTGTATAGTAAAAATTCTGTTTTCTTAAAACAGCGGGATCTTAAGCGAATCAGGATCGTAAACGGTGGGATCTTAGGCGGAGACTACTGTATTTTGATAAAAAAGATGGAGCACACTTCACCACAGCCCCGTCCAACCACCCACCAAACTACTCATTTTTGCTTGCTTAGTTTAGTAAGGTTTTTCCTACAACATGGAGAATACGTCAAACAGCACACAGTCACTACATTAGCTGATGCTCTCAAAGCTTGGTTATGCTTGATCTTTGTTTGAGCAGGGAGAAGCATTTTGAAGGTTTATACTTTGCAGACATCCAGCACAGAACAAAAATATTCAAAGATAGACAGATCCTATACCCCCCCCCAGTATTCCAAAGACAATCATATTTTTTATACCTATTGCACAACAAAGTGCAGCTCACAAGATGTCTAATCTTAGCTTAGATTTAATAAGTTTTAAAGCACTTACAACACAAACAGGCCATAGAAGTGTTGAAGACTGGAGGTATTCCCTGATAGTAACACACAAAAGAAAAGGAGGAGAAGAGGACCATAAATGCTTGAAGGGAAAGAAGGAACAAAACACACCAGAGCATCCACCAACCATCCACGCTCAGAGTATAAACTAATGCAAGGTATATTAGAAAAAACAACAACAACAAAACACTCTCCTATATTAGTAAAAAAACACACACACACAGTAGGAAACAACTATGCCTGCTTTGTACTAACAAATAAAAAAGGAATTTAAAATGCACACATCGCAGCAAATGTGGTAAGTCAAGCTTTTACACTCAAGCCATCTCGGAGCACTTCGCTCAAACTCAAGGAGCAAAGCGTACTATATAATCTACAAACAGCTGTCCAGCTCAACATGCACCGGTCACAACTGCAGGCTCGCCAACATTTCTCAAAACCCAACCAGGGACACCCAAGAATACAGCATTAGGTTTATATGTGTCACCACGCAGTGGAATCAGGCACTCCTCAGTTTTTGGGGCACGTGGAGTAATTGGGGTCATCTTAAAACCTGTTAATTTGTCTCTTGTTGAAGTAAAAAAATATTCATTAACCTTGAAAAGAAGTGGAGATATTGGCGATTGAAGGGTGCGGGGGGTTGCCTGATTCAGTGGTAAGATTAAAGAGAAAATGGCCGACAAAGTCTGATGATTTCCACAGCTTGAGAGTCCCTAAAAACAAAATATTTACATTATTGTGCCTTTAACTTTAATCAACATTTTTTTTAGTACAATTCACACAGAAAGTTGTTTTTAAATGGAGATTAAAGATGTTGAGCCAAAACACAAAATTTGATAAAGACAGCCAAACCAGTGCTGCTCTTATTTACGATTTCACTATTTTGACAAGCGCCTCATTTCACCAGGAGGCTTCACGTAATATATCAAGTTGACAAGCCCGCATTTGCACCAGGAAGGGTCAAGCTAGGGTCACCCTTCTAAACATAAGTGATAGTCATCTTTCGCATACTTTGGCGCGACTGAGATTGAAAGGTTTTGAGCCTTCTTTGAAACAACAAAAGTGATAATAATCAATAATGACAATGACATAATAGTAACAATAATAATGATATAATAATAATAATAATAATAACAGTAATAAAAATAATAATGATAATAATAATGGCTGCATTTCTATGGTGCATATCTACGCTGTACAGCAGGCTGTAAGTCTAGTACAACCACTACCACCCCAGCAGACCCTGTACTAGGAAAACACAGAAACATTCTCAACCTCCCAAGGAGCATTCAGTGCAAGCTCCAGATTGTCCACCCGTCATTAACATTTTACCATCACATCTCGCCGATCGGCAATGTTTACCACCCAGTTCCTTTGGATTTTCCCCCAAATGCCTTTGCCTTTGATAGCAAGGGTTTTTACTATATGAACCTTGAGATGGCAAAGTGTTAAATAACTAACAAACAGACGAGCCATCGCCTGACCAAGTAAGTTCTGAACAGAGGTCTCCCACAGACCTTTCCAGCCACATTTGTCCACATGAGCATCTCCTCCACTACACCTCTACAATATAGCACAGCAGAGCCGCTCAAAACCAGAATCTGCCACACCGCTGGTTTGTCTTTGTTTTAGCCGGGCTTTCAGTTCTGATTATTCCAACAGCAACGAAACCAATTTTTAAAAAAAAGGATTTGCGGATTTTATTTTCTTTTGGAAGTGTTTTCAGATTAAGTGCATTTGGTTTGAACGGACTCCACTGTACATGGGAAAACCTCCTCCCTACATCAACAACTTATGTGAAGCTTTTCATCCACTGCATCTCCTACACCACAAAGGTACCCCCTCCCCCCCAGCCAAAAAATAAAAAAAACATAACAGAACACCAGACAAATAGTGAAATAGACAAAAAGATAAAAGGAAAATGCTTTCTGAGTCACAGAAAAAGTAAACATTAATGAAGTAAACTAAACCTACATCACCATTTCCTTCACATTACCACCCCCCCCCACCTCTACACCATCCAAAAATTATCCAATAAAAAAACAACAAAACAACAGCAGCAGCAATGGTAATCTAAATATATAACTCTATGTGGCCACTATAGCAGATAGCTGTGTCCTTGTAAAGATACAGTCTAACTTGTCCAAGACAGCCACCCATTATGAAGGAAAACAGTGGCCATCTTACACAGGTGGCTGTCTTATACAGTATCTCACTTCCTACTCTAACGACCACATGTATAAGACAATCACCTGGATAAACTGCCACTTCCCATCTCTCCTCCTGGCGTCAAAAACAAATTTTGATAATGATACTGCGTACTAAATTTTTTTTAACGGAATGGGGGGGG